CTCAAGTAGTTGAAGATGGTCGCCTTCAGTTCAAAGTGCTCCCCCCGGATGATGGAGTAGGGCAGGCTGAGCTCCAGGAAGAAGGGCTGGAAGACGGTGATCTCTTTACGGGGGGCCAAGCCGAAACCCTGAGGGGACAGACAGAAGGCCTCCGTCTCCCAGGTGGTGATGGTGTCTGGGACGGTGAGGGACACGTCCTTCATTCCAGAGCCTCTGATACAGCAGAGACACACAGAGACATTCTGTCAACTTCAACATCAGACTTTCATGATTCAGATTAGTCAAAGAACGACAATGTGAGCAGACGATTAACGCCTAATAGAAGTAAAAAATGTCGCCATCTGTTTTTTGCAACCAGTGAACAGGAAGTGAGCATATCTGGACTTCAGAGGAGTGACGTAGAGACGCCGTATACTCTCTGGTAGAGACCTGTCAATCACTGTGTAGCCCTGCCCTAAAGCATCCCCTGCTTTATGGTCTGTTTGACTCCAAATGGACCATAATGTACTAAATGAACATCATGCTGTATTGAAGAAGACTTGAAACTAGAGATTGAGACCATAAACTCATGTTTACAATGTTTACTGAGGTAATAAATCGAGAGAAGTAGAGTCATTTTCTCAGACTTCTATACAACCAGAGGAGTCGCCCCCTGGTGGTCACTAGAGAATGCAGCTTTAACATTCACCGAGACTCGCGTGAGTTGAAATTTTTCATCCCGAGTGCCATCAGGTTAAATCAGAAGAAAAAGTCTAAAGGGGCAATGTCTGTAAATACAACAGGAAGTTTGAGAGAAGGACTATGGTTTTTTAAAAAAAAAAAAAAAATAAATAAAAAATAACTCACCCCACTTCCACCAGGTCCCATATCCAGGTCTCAGGGAAGAAAGTGCGGACCGTCTCTATTGGTGAATTATCAGGTGGGGAACCTAAGCGACCTGCAGCACCAGTTTGTGTTTCCATTCTGGCTACGCTGGGAACAGCGTGATACCTGTAACTAATACCTGAAAATAAAACAGAACATATTCCATCAGAAGCAAAGAAAAACCTGGTTTTTAATGCTGGTAAATATTCAGCAATGTGGCACTTAATAGAGCAAAATAACAAAATAAGTCACCATAGTGATGGCCTTGGTGGAATTCTCTTCCTTTGTACTTGAGGCACGAAGGCACTCGGATTAGCAAGTTTGTTGCCATCTTCATCCCCACATTCTAGATAACACAACAACATACAGGCGTCAACTGAAATGTGCAACAACAAAACATACAAAGAAACAATATAAAGATATTGTGCATTCATGTTTGTACCGCGAAAGTCGTATGAGCGTCCTCTGTCTGCACATCGAGGAACGGCAAGACGGATCTTCTCGGCAAGACGGATCTTCTCGGTCTCACGGGCAAACATTTGATGGAATCTTCAACCAGATATGGAATATTGGAGACTTTTGAGACGGGCAACAGGTTGAATATCTGAAGAGAAAAGGCATGGCAGAGGTCCATTTTCAATAAGATTTAGGGGAACCAAATTATGGAATGACTTTTCCCACAAAACAAAATAATGTTCCTCTATAAAATGTTTCAAAAGGTGCCTAAAAGAAAATCTAATTGCTGTTATGTAATAACTTTTTGTTGTAATTTATTTCTTGTTTTAGCTGTTATATTATATTCATAGTTGTTTCACTCATAGGGACTTGTAGCATTACTATGGTTTATGAGTTAATGCAGATGTATAAACCAATATCCCCGAACAAGTCCATGCTTACTCTCACACGAACACAAACAACGCAATAACATTTTCTTTTGTTGTTTGTAATGTATTAATATTGTTATCATATTTCATATATTGTAAAAACATCTTGTCAATAATATTTTGTGTAGTCATGTCTTATGCATATTAATTTTATGTTCTCTGTAATATTGTAAAATTGTAATATTATATCGGTGGAGGTTTCAAATAAGTAACTTTTTGCCTCTGATATTTATTTATCTCTGTTATGTTTGTTTATTTTTATTTTATTGTTTAAATTGTGAAAATTAAATGAAACTAAACTAAACTAAACGGTTCAAAGCTGTAAACCGTAAAAATGGTATTTGGTCTGTAAAGATCTGACAATTGGGGAACTTCATTTGTTGAAACAGTTGCTTTATCCTTCAGGCAGACTCTTCATATCGTCACATATGCGATCTACACTTTTTCCATTTTCAAAATGTATAATGGACGACTGATAAGAGGGAGAACAAGAAGACAGATTGACCACAACTGATGACGTTAACGGAGTAAATGCAGATGGATTTGTGGTTAGCTACCTTGTCTGCGTCCAGACTTTTCCCCGGCTCCTTGATGAGGACGCTCT